CCCAAATTGTTTAGTATGTTTAGGACTTTATTTTCCCTTTTTGTGATTTGAGCAATTGAATAGTAAGTAAAGCTCCGAATAGCCTTCCCTCGAGATCGACCCGAGTCGGGTAGCTCGGTTATCCTTTACCCACCACAAAAATTTACTAAACAAATGAATTTTGTTTGTAGTATTTTTGGGCAATTGGTAACCGAGCTACCCGACTCGGGTCGTTCTCAAAGGAAGGTTGTTTGGAGCGTCGTTCACTACCTAGTCGTCAAAATCACACAACCGAAAAGGTCCTAAACATTCTACTCGCAATTTGAGGGTTTGAATTTAACTAGATTAATCTACGAAATGAGAGAATTGAAAGCAATTAACTAAGCACGCAAGAAGATGAGAGAAATCAATGGGGAAAGAGAGATTTTGGTTTGCCGGAGTCTCCATGATCAATCACACGCAAATAACCGAACATTGCCATGCTAGCTAAAACCCTAGGAAGCTAAACCAAGCTCTAGCACAAAACGAGCAAGCATTTAACTCTTAATCACACTTAGTCAAGCATTCTGGATCCAAAGATTCAATCTTTTCCTCCAAACAACACAAGCACAATATCAATTTTCACAAAAGCAAACAAAGATATACGAAGTAATGAGGCTTAAGACTAAGTACCCCCTCTTACACGCACTTGGAAGGATAAACAGAGTCAAAAGCTCGAAACTTTACTCGAAACAATGTCGCCGGAAATTCACCGGAAAACTTGATTCATAAGCTCCAAACCAAAACATAAAAAAAAAGAGAAAAAGGAAATAGAGAAGATTTTCCCAACTTAAAAGTTGGGAAATGAGGGTTATGTTTCAAAAATACAAAGCAAGATGTCTATATATAGCTACACCACAAACACACACTAAAACACACACATTTACTAAGGTACTCTCGAGCTAGCCATGAAATCTGCGAGCTCGAGAGTGTGGTTTGGGCATTGACAGCACAAGGTGCGTGGGCGTGCGCGCGTGCGGGCGCACAGCAGGGCACACTCTCGAGGTCGCGGATTTGTCCTCGAGCTTGCGGGCAAGGAGTGAATGGCACTCTCGACGTCGCGGATTTATCCTCGAGCTCGCGGGCATGGGCGCGTGCGTAGGAATGGTCCTGGTGACCTCATGATGCTCAATTCGCTCTAACTTTTCGCACACAACTCCGATTCGCACGAAATTTGGACCAAAATTCTCATCATTGAATTCTCTTCGTCCCGATATGGCTTGGTCGGATTTTCC